AATGCAAAGAGATGCAACATCTCTTCGCAGCGCCAGTGAATCGAGCCGATCTTTCTGCTTGCAATATAAGGTGTTCTTATATATACAACAAATGCCTAACAGAAAAACGCCTTTTCATAACCTTTTAATAATTAAAAATAAATTTCATAACAGCTCAATTCACTTTCTGAGAGATCTAACGTCTCAAAATATAGTTATGCAAATCTAAGAAATACCTTTTGACATACATTTTTAAGAAATATATTTTTGGACTAGGCATTCCAATTGAAGTTTTGGTACCTACAATATCCGATTCTTAAGAGATATCGATATCGATTATTCAGAGTTGGTAATTAGAAATTGTAAATTAGCAACATAATTATCGTATGCCACATTAAGAATGCAAAAATTGCTTATTGAATGACTTCGAACGTTAAAATAAAAGGAAACGGAAATGATGCTAAAAAGAATAGCATAAAAAGCTTAAAATGTAGTTTTAATAATTACTTAATAACTGCTTCTGGATTATATTTGTTTTACAGAAGAGGTTTTTAATAACACTCACACACGTACACACACATACTCACGCAAACACACCGCACACGAGCGCGCATGTACCTACACAAGCGCGCGCACAGAAACAAATAGTTTAGTTTTACATAAATAAGGTAAATAATAGTTTAACATAAATAAGTAAAATAATTTAGTTTTACATAAATAAGGCAATAGTTAAGTTTTACATAAATAACGGTATTATTAAATTTTAAGATTTCGATAAATGTTAAGTAGTAGGGTAAAACCGAAACACCCCAACACTAGTAAGGTACGTGGGGGTAATACGGTCACGTTAATTTCATCATTCCACCTTAATTTCTCATTTGCCGCCCTATAAAACCAAAACTAGGAGGAGCACATAGGCAAAAACTCTGAGTCGTATACTATAACTAATATATTAAGAAAAAAAATAGCAACCAAGCCTCGGCAATAATTATGAATACTTCAAAAAATCTACTTTAAAAAACTAACTACACTACACCATATTAAAATCGACTAAAATATTCACTACAATAGCAACTGTCAAAATGGCGTCGACAAAGCAGCACCATTTTTACCCTTTATTATTCGATGGACCGATGAAGAGCTATCGTATCATAAAGCCATCTATGCACACAAAGCTTTAGTTTTAGAGTTATAAGAAAGTGACCATATTATCCGGATGACCATATTACCCTCACGTACTATAATATTAAATTACTCTATGGGGTTGTTTCACTACTAATTTCTGAAAAAGTGATATTGAGAAATAAATGGATTTTTATTTTATTATTCAATTAATTATATATATCTCAGCTTATAACACAACTCTTTTGCCTCCAGGTCCTTCAAAAGTGTCATTGTCAAGGCAAAGTCAGAGCACATCGGCAGAATTGGCGAGAAACTAGTTCGTCTTCCTTCAGGAATTTTCTGGTCTCTCGCCAAGGCTGTCCAAGGGAACTCTTCTGTCAGCCATCTCTCCCATCTCTCATCTGCACAGGGAGCACGAGCCACTGGCCCATGCCGCAAAGGAAAAAGCCGATCTGCTGGGCTCTCTCTTTGCGTCCAATTCGACTCTAGATGACGGGGGCAACACACCGCAGACCATCCCGCGGAGTGAATGCTCCATGCAGGATGTCCTTCTTACCCAACGCTTAGTGCGCAGAGCACTCCTCTCCCTGGATGTCAACAAATCGAGTGAGCCGGATGGCGTCCCTCCTATTGTGTTGAAGACGTGTGCTCCGGAGTTGGCACTGATTTTAACGCGTCTTTTCTGGTACTGCTACTCCCTCGGCGTAGTCCCGAAATCATGGAAGACAGCCCTCTTGCACCTGATCCCTAAGAAAGGTAACCGCTCTGATCCATGCAACTATAGGCCTATCGCCATCACCTCTTTGTTCTCTAAAATAATGGAATCCATTATTAACAGCCATCTTATGCGGTGCCTTGAGGAACGCCAACTGATTAGTGACCGCCAGTACGGTTTCCGTCGTGGTCGCCCGGCTGGTCTTTTGGGTTACCTAACTCATAAATGGGTGGAGGCAGTAGAGTCGAAGGGGGGGCGTTGGCCATTAGTTTTGACATAGCGAAGGCCTTCGATTGGGTTTGGCACAAAGCGCTCATTACGAAGCTTCCTTCCTATTAGCTTCCCAAGAAATTATGCAATTGGATCACCAGTTTATTTGTTGATCGGAACATCAAGGTCGTAGTAGACGGTGCATGCTCCGATTACAAGCCAATTAACGCTGGTGTTCCACAAGGCTGCGTGCTATCACCAACGCTGTTTCTTCTGCATATCAATGATATGTTGCAAGCCGGTAACATTCATTGCTATGCAGACGACAGTACTGGTGATACCTTATACACCGGCCGTGCCAATATTTCTCGGGAAAACGTCGCAGATTACCGGGACAAACTTGTGTCTGAACTCAAAACTTTGTTGAACAAAGTCGCGGACTGGGGGCAACTAAATCTAGTCGGTTTAACCCCAGAAGACACAAGTTTGCGCGTTAACTGCTAAAAAGGACCCCTTTGGCGTATCTTCTCAGTTTCAAGGCACTCCCCTTGTTGCCTCAGCTAGTATCGGAATCCTCGGCGTCGACATATTGAATGACGTGCAGTTTCGTGGTCACTTGGAAGAGGCCAAATTGGCCTCTAGAAAGTTTGCCGTGTTCAGCAGAGTGGGACAGTATTTTATGCCGGCTCACTGCCTGCAACTTTACAAGGCGCAGGTTCGGCCGCACATGGAATAGTGTTCCCATCTCTGGGCCGGGGCTCCGCAGTGCTAACTCTTTCCATTTGATCGCATCCAGCGCAGAGGTGTTCGAATCGTCGGCGACCGAGCTCTTTCTGATCGGCTTGACTCACTGGCACTGCGAAGAGATGTCTCTTTGCGTATTTTATCGCATCTACGACGAGGAGTGCTCTGACGAATTGTTTGGACTAATTCCAACCGCACCATCCATACCATCTGGATGACTGGCGATCCACCACCGTGCGATTTAAAAGAAGTTTTCTTCCTCGCACAACTTCCTTGTGTAATCGACTACCACCAGAGATTTTTCCGGACCGATACGACTTAGGGACCTTCAGAAAAGAGCCTACTCCTTTTTAAAAGGCCGGCAACGCATCTGCAATTCCCTGGGTGTTGCAATTGTTCATGGTGATAATCATTTACCATCAGATGAGCCATATGCTCGTTTGCCCCCTTTCCTACAAAAAAACCCCGGAAATTATATTGCTGACTTTACTTGCTGGCTGACATTATGCACTCCATACATTTCATATACATCTAATTGACTAGTTACCTCTTTAGTCTAGTGCTCGTAAACGTGATTGCTAATCATAACCCGGGTTCGAACCAAAATCAGTTATTGGGTTTTTCTCTCAAGAAATTCTCGGTTCTCGCAGCTCGGAGTTATGAAGCCGGTGGTGTTACACCCCCTTGCCTCGGAAAACATGTAAAGCCGTTTGCCCTATGCCTGATCTCTCTCCGGTCGTGTAGAATTATCGTCCCGTCTTACTATGAGAATGAGGCAATAGGGAGTGCACCTGTGCTTGCGCATACACTTGGGTACTATAATCCTGGACTGCGCAGATAGCTAGTCTCCGTTGAGACTGGCTGCTGCTGCAACCGAAATTCGAGTACCTATATCTAACTACAGACCCATTAATTCTCAAATAAAATAAGAAACTTGTATATTAATTAATAAATCACTGCATTGCTATGTCTATCACAATGCCTAAAGATGAGATACTAAAAATGAGCTTAAGCTTATCAGGTTCATAACTTAACAAAAAATTTGGAAAATGAGCGAGATTTAAATTTAACATTGATAGATTTATAACTGTAAGTTTCATATCTCATATCTACTCGTAGTAACCACTTGATGCCTTAATAATGAAGTAAAAAGGCGAAAAGGCTGGTATTAGGGGCGGAGCTGGTATTAGGATTCACTGAAAGGTATGAAGTGCATTATATTAATTTTTTAAGTGGAAACCTAATATTTAAAACTGTTTATTATTTAAATCCTAAGTTATAAATATTTTTGTTAAAAGAAAAAAATTGTGACGCACTTAAGAAGACTAACGACAATTTGTAAACAAATATTGTAAACTAGCTCCGCTAACAGAGATAAGAATAAATCACTGTAAATATTATACTCACATGTTTAAATCAAGGAAAATTGTAAAGTTATTTTGCACTGCATAACAAGGGAAGTTAAATTTTTTTTTTTGTTAAATTTTACCACGTTTTTCCATACTCTTGCATTGTCTTCTGAATTTAAACTATAATAATTTTCAAATTGGCAGCTCATCTGGTGTTAAAATTACTAAATTCCAACCCGGTCTACAGACAAACAAGAAAGTTAAAAACGTGGTAAAAAAGTTATTCGGTCACTCGGAATGTTCGTGCCAAATTTAGGAAGATGGCATAAGGATAGCTCAATATCAGAATGATTGAGAGCAAATAACATGCGCATATAATATTCTAAATGATGATACTTCAGGCATACTTGAAAAAAAATACATTCATTTTTGTCGTTCCATAAAACCTGTGTCTACGATAGTGTGTAAAATATTATATCAGGTTATACTAACATTTAATATTATTACCTATAATAGTTTATTTATGCAATAATAATTATGGCAGTGAATACGACGATGTTTTCTTGACTGATCCTTATGTCAACTGCGGAATATCGTACCGTACCTGGGATATAGGTTCAAGAAGTTTATTTCCTTACAAAATTTAGTTTCCTTTGAGCGCCTTTGATATAAGAGGAAGAAAATGATAAAATAGATAATAAAAACAAGAAGAAATAAACATCCATCAGTTCTAAACTATCTGCCTTCAGAACTAAACTATTCGTTTGTTTATTATTATAAATATAAAATAAATCAAAACATTCAAATCTTAACGAAATCTTTGCCTTTTTTATTATTGAATCAGAAAATTATTTAATATATGTATATTTTATTTGCAGAAGAGGCGTTTTCCAGTCCGATGTACCAGTAGCATTGTTATAAATTCAGTCGATGATAAATCAATAAGCTACAGATATTTCCATACAACATATGTAAAAAACAAAATTGTTGCATTTAAATTATCCGACATTGGCGAGGGAATAAGAGAAGTTGTCGTCAAAGAATGGTAATGTTATCAAATAGAAGTTCAGTTCAGTAAAATTATCATAACACGATGTCGAAATTGTGAACTTTGTATAAGCCTTGCATTTCCTTATAAATCGTAGTGTTACGAGCTTGAGGTTCGTGACAATAAAAATTGCCGATAAAATTACCTAAATTAACACTTTAATTTACTTTACGCAAATTAAAACTAAAAACACTAATAATTAAACACACTAATTCCGCTCCGAAGCTTCGCTTGTGTCGCTGAGTTCAACTCTACTGCCTCGATCGCATCTTGCAGCGCCTATATATTTGAATTAGCAAAGAAATATCCAGAATGTTCAAGTAAACACGCGGAAGGTACCGAGCGTTCGAGTTTCGACTAGGCGCTGTCAGTTGAGCGATTTGTGATGTCATTTTCTCAATGCTCCCCTCGCTCTCGTTCCTGACACTAGATGGCGCTAGTTGACTTATTCATGCAACACTGCCCCCTCCTAAGACATGCTCGTCCCGAGCATTATCGGTCCCATAATAACGCGCCAAGCGATCCACATGGACGATCTTAGGAGTCCCTCTTGCGCCTTTCTGTATCCGGTAGGTCACATCGTTGATCCTGGTTACAATCCGGTACGGGCCGTCCCATTTAGCTTGAAGCTTAGGAGATTTCCCTTTGCTGCGGACTGGATTGTGCAACCACACAAGTGAACCTTCGTCGAACCCTTTGTTGTTCATTTTGCGGTCATACCGGGTTTTCATCTTTTCAGACATTTGCTGGCCCGATTGTCTGACGTGCTCATAAACGTCATTCATTTTTTTTCCGCAAGTCATTTGCATAATCGGTTATACTGCGTGGAGCATCGGGTGGTATCCCGGTGATCAGGTCTGCAGGCAGCCGTAATTCTCTTCCAAAGTTTGCGAAAGCTGGTGTCACTGCTGTACTTTCGTGAACAGAACTTCGATATGACAACAAAAACGGTTGTATGTGCTTGTCCCAATCTCGTTGCCGATTGTCTACAACTTTTGCTAGGTACCTCTCCAATGTCTGATTAAATCGTTCCACCATTCCATCAGATTGCGGGTGATAAGAAGTCGTTCTTGTTTTATGAGTACCCATAACTCGGCAAGTTTCCTGGAATATTTGAGACTCAAAATTCCTTCCTTGATCGCTGTGAATCTCTAAAGGTACTCCAAAACGACAGAAGACTTCATGAACTAGTTTATCTGCAACTGTTGAAGCTTCTTGATTTGGAATGGCGAAGACTTCTGGCCACTTAGTGAAGTAATCCATCACAACCATGAAATACTTGTTACCGCTTTCACTCTCCGGAAACGGCCCCGCCACGTCAATGGCTATTCTCTCCCATGGTGCACCAACATTGTACAACTTCAATGCACCTCTACTACGAGTCTGAGGTCCCTTTACAGCCGCACAACTTGTACATTTGCGACACCAGTCCTCGACATCGTTTCGACAGTGGACCCAGTAAAACCGTTCTCGGATCTTCAGTAGAGTTCGTTTAACTCCCAGATGGCCTCCTGAACAATCATTATGGTACAGCTGTAGAACATCCGGTACTTTAACTTTAGGGACAACCATTTGCAAATGACAGCTGTCTCCCCGAACGTTTTCCCATTTACGACACAGAACTCCATCCTGAAGCAGCAAGCTGTCCCACTGGGCCCAATAGCTTTTAGTGGTCGAACTCATCGCTGAGACGTCACTCCACTTGGGCTTGGGAGCACTGGCCTTTATCCATTCCAGAATCGGCTTGATGTCCGGATCTTCCTGCTGTGCATGTAGTAAGCTGTCCTTCCACTCGTTGCTGAGGTGGTCTGCCCTGAGCATCCTCACGGATACCACTTCCTTACTCTCTTGCCTAGTACAATGTTTGCAATCTTTAGGACAAGGTCTTCTTGACAATGCATCTGCGTTGCCATGAGATTTCCCGCTGCGATGTTCGATCTCAAAGTCGTATTCCTGCAGTAGTTCAATCCACCTCGCAACTTGTCCTTCTGGGTTTTTAAACTGCAATAGCCATTTTAGTGCAGCATGGTCAGTTCGTAAGTGAAATTTTCGTCCCAGAAGATATTTGCTAAAATGTTGCAACGACTTTACCACAGCTAGCAATTCGCGTCTTGTGACACAGTAGTTCCTTTCCGGTTTTGACAACGACTTGCTGAAGTACGCTATCACGACCTCTTGGTCACCATTCCGTTGAGACAACACACCGCCGAGTCCTATATCACTTGCGTCTGTGTCAACTATAAATTCTTTGCTTGCATCAGGGTATCCCAAAATAGGTGTTTTGCACAGACGGTCCTTGAGCTCCTGGAATGCGATATTGCAACTTTCATCCCAGCAGAAATGTCGCTTCTCCTCGGTTAGCTTGTGCAGAGGTTTGGCTATATCTGCAAAGTTCTTCACGAATCGCCGGTAATAGGAGCACAAACCCAAAAATGCTCTAACCTGCGTCTTGTCTTTTGGAACCGGCCAATCCTTGACAGCGGCGATTTTCTCTGGATCTGTGCGGATACCTTCTTCCGATACTACAAACCCCAAAAAGTTAACTTGCCGTTGAAATAGTGAACATTTCTTCGGGCTCAACTTGAGGTTGGCACTCTGAATCTTCATGAGCACGCGTTCCAGGTTTTGAAGGTGTTCCTCAAACGTACGGCCCACGATGATGATGTCATCCAAGTAGACCAGACAGGCATCGCCAATTAGCCCGGTAAGTACAAGTTCCATCAGCCTTTCAAACGTTGCTGGAGCATTGCACAACCCAAACGGCATTACTTTGAATTGCCACAGACCCTTTCCCGTCGAGAACGCAGTTTTCTCCTTGTCCTTAGGGTCAATTTCACCTTGCCAGTAGCCACTTTTTAGATCCAGCGTGCTAAACCATTTTACTCCTGTAAGCATGTCCAGCGTGTCATCAATTCTTGGCAAGGGATAGCTGTCCTTCTTTGTAACGTCGTTCAGACGGCGGTAATCAACACAGAACCGCATGCTGCCATCCTTCTTTTTCACCAGCACCACTGGTGAACACCATGGACTAGAGGAAGGTTCAATAACACCATCCTTCACCATTCCTTCAATCATGGTTTCCACTTCCTTTTCACGTGCTACCGGCAATCTTCTTGGCCGCTGACGGATAGGCAATTCCTCTCCTGTGTTTATTTTGTGTTGAACTAGGCCAGTCTTTCCTATGTCAGCATCATTTGATGAGAATACATCGGCGTACTTGAGTAACAACTTCTTCGCCTTGACCAATTCGTTCGGGGACAGAACACTGCGACAGTCTTCCAAAAGTGTGGTCACTCTCGTTTCTGAATCCTTGCTGGGGGGTCCCACTCGATATATATTGGCACTGACGTAACCAATCCACTTCCTCACAAGTACCAACCAGTGTGCCTTTTTCTATAATCTGTTCCCGGTCGCAAAGGTTCAGCACACGTACTCCTGAGATGTCAGTGGTCCTGACCAAGGTTCGAGCTACTTTCCATGGAAGGTCATTGTTTACCCTTTCCACAAGTACACAACGGTGAGCTTGCCCAGCGTTTCGAGGTAGACTAACCGGAACAATCGTTTCCGATCTCGGCGGAAGAACAATCTTCTTGATGCTGTACACGTTCCCTGGTAACGCACCTTCCATAAAAAGTTCCTCCTGTCCACATTTCAAAACACCTTGCTTAACGTCGATCTCACAACAATTATTCCTCATAAAGTCTAGGCCTAAGATGCAGTCGTCCATTATATCAGCCACGATGACATTATGCAGGTAGATCACGTTGCCTAGCTTCAACTCCATCTCCTTCTCTCCACGGACGGGTATACGCTGACCGGTGGCTGTTACCAAATTAAGGCGTTCTCGGTTGTATGCGGAGTCCCCAAGGAACTGACTTATAAGTTGGGAACTAACAACCGTACGAGAGGCTCCAGTGTCTATGGTCAGCTTACACGGCATTCCGTTGATCTCGCCCTTTTTGATTAGGCTGTTCCCATCATGGGTTTGTGAGATCGAGATCCTTGGGGCTCTTTTAACATCAGCCAGCACCCGCCCCGCAGTTCTGGCTTTTACTCGTTTCCCTGCCGCTGCTGGGCGGTGCTGTTGGCCGCACTACCCTCCTGAGATCGTTCAATTTCCCTTTCTAGGGTTCGCTTAGGGCAGCTGGATCGAAGATGGCCCTTTTCCCCACAGCCATAGCACCTTGGGCTGTATCCTTTGTTGCGGTCGCGAACTGTAGCTGCTGCAACCTCCCTGACGCGATGGGAACGATGATCCTGCCGCACGGCTTCCACTTCCAGTGCATGGGCCAAGGCGTCCCTAAGCGTCTCGTGGTGCCCGAGCCTCACAGCAGCTCTGACTTCCAGGTCGCGGATGCCGTCGATGAATGTCTGCATCAGGTTCCCTTCAATGAGCGCAGGTACAGACCGGTATGCTTTTCGCACCAGCTTCTCCACTTCTAGAGCCCACTGCTGCAGGTTTTCGTTGATGCGCTGCACACGATCTTTAAGCTGCGCACGAAAGACGTGTTCCAGGTGAGCGTCGCCATATCTCGCCTCCAATGCCTCAAGGAGTTGCTCATAAGTCACTTCCTCACCGAGAGCTTCCAGAACTGTTAAGGCCTGGTCGCGCAGGCCTAGTGTGAGAGCAGTCATGGCCTGACTTTTATTCCAGCCGTTCGCCTTCATAACAGCCTCGAACTGGATTTTGTAGGCTGACCAGGAAGAAGTCCCGTCAAACGGTGGCACCTTGAACCCACGTAGCGAAGGTGCTGAAGCTACTACGGGAGCTGTGGTTCCATCCCCAAGTTTGAGTTCATCCAGCGTTTTCTTAACTTGGTTGATTTGGGTCTCAGCTTCCGACAGGCGGTTATCATGTTGAGCAACCTTATCCTTCACCTCCCTTATCTCTTTCCCGAAGGTAGCGTGAAGGTCCTTCATGAGAAGCATCTGTTCTTCCTGGCCGCCCCGCAGCTGCTCTTCCAACCAACGGACCTGTTCCTCCTGTCGGCGAGCCTGTTCCTCCTTGTCGGCGAGCCTGTTCCTCCTGTCGGCGAGCCTGTTCCTCCTGCTGCTCTTTCAACAGACGAGCCTGTTCCTCTCGTCCGCGCTGCAGCTGCTCCTGTAGCATCGCCATCAGAGCACCTAAGTCAGGTGCTGCAGGTGTAGGAGCTACTGACGGGCCCGCAGCCTCCGTGGCTGGCAGTTGGCCCTCCGACGTCTGCGGCGTTGCACCACCAAATCTCCTCTGGTCCGTCTCATGCTGGCGTTGACTGCGGGTACGGACACCCTCCGTTTCCTCCTTAGGTGAAATCGGCATTATTTTATCCCACTTCTGACACCAATTGTTACGAGCTTGAGGTTCGTGACAATAAAAATTGCCGATAAAATTACCTAAATTAACACTTTAATTTACTTTACGCAAATTAAAACTAAAAACACTAATAATTAAACACACTAATTCCGCTCCGAAGCTTCGCTTGTGTCGCTGAGTTCAACTCTACTGCCTCGATCGCATCTTGCAGCGCCTATATATTTGAATTAGCAAAGAAATATCCAGAATGTTCAAGTAAACACGCGGAAGGTACCGAGCGTTCGAGTTTCGACTAGGCGCTGTCAGTTGAGCGATTTGTGATGTCATTTTCTCAATGCTCCCCTCGCTCTCGTTCCTGACACTAGATGGCGCTAGTTGACTTATTCATGCAACAGTAGTGTTTCAGTGAATACAAACGCACCCAATTCAGACATTTTAAACATTTGATATAATAATGTAGAATCCAACCCACACTTCAATAATGTATGTTATTTAAACATATGAATCTAAAGAGTTTTTATTAATCTGAAATATTTTTCTGGATTCAATCAAGTTTCAATCATTGTAAGTATAAGTCTTAATATATAAATAATATAATATGTTTACTGACTAACCTTGGGTTGCACGTCAAATCTTCTTGAAGGTTGATGACTCTTTAAGAAACTTTTAACTTTTGATCGCAAAATAAAATCATGAGCACACAAACCAAAAAAATCCAAAAAGAAAATTAAAAGTTAAACAAACTAAAAGAAGAAAGAGGAAATCACTTAAAAAGTTTACTTCATCTGTATAACATGTAAATAAGTACATAATTATACTTTGTTGCGCTTCATTGATGAAAAATTCCATAACTAGCAAAATTATATTCACAGGTTTGTCAAAGTAGGAGATAAGGTACAGCAATTTGATAACATTTGTGAAGTGCAGAGCGATAAAGCAGCTGTAACTATCACAAGTCGATACGATGGTATTGTTACTCGACTTTACCATGAAGTTGACCAAACTGCGCTGGTTGGCCATCCTCTAGTAGATATCGATGTTGAAAATGGATCGGATGAAGGTATTATAAAATTTTACATTATTTTAATGTAACGAAGATAATAAAATTATAAGTTTTTGGTATTGATATTGATTAAGAACTACCATTTTAATAATATTCATTTTACAGAAGACTCATCAGATTCTGACACAGAAGTAAGCAACGAATCCCCTAAACCAGAAAATCAAGCAAATCAAAGGGTAAAAGTATTAACTACTCCCGCAGTTAGAAGAATTGCAGCTCAATTTAAAGTAAGTTATAATAAGAAGAAGTTTTTATGACTGTTAGTGGAAAACTTTTGAATGTTTAATTTTTTTAAGGTAGACTTAAGCACAATTAATCCAACGGGAAGAAACGGCAGAATTCTCAAAGAAGACGTTTTGTCGCATCTCAATATGACAGCCGATAAATCCAATGAAATTCCAGATATGACGACCATACAAGCTATATCGATGCCAGTATCTATGGCACAAGCAAGAATAGAAGTCGTCATGGAGGATAAAATAGTACCTGTTACTGGATTTACTAAAGCCATGGTAAAATCCATGACAGAAGCAATGGTGAGAAAAATTCTTTAAAATAAGTCTAATATACTTAAGCGTTTAGTAAATCAATTCATTAAAAAGAGACATAATCTATAATAAGTTAAAATATTGTATAACATTTATCACATTTTTGTTTTTAAATATTATCGCAGAAAATTCCTCATTTTGGATTTAGCGACGAATACAATGTCACAAAATTAGTACAATCCAGAGAGAGTTTGAAGACTATAGCGCAAGAGAAAGGAGTTAAATTAACGTATATGCCGATCATTATAAAGGCCTCATCATTAGCCCTCACTGCTCATCCTGTACTTAACAGCAGCCTTGACAGTTCCTGCGAAAATCTTATATATAAAGCTAAACATAATATTGGTGTCGCAATGGATACGCCTAACGGTTTAGTAGTTCCAGTGATAAAAGTAAGTATCACCTACCATGTTAATTATAAATTAGCCTTTTGTACAATGAATTATTAACATACAAATGTTATAATAGTTTAAAGCACGTAAGTTTTTTACAATTCACATTCATGAGTAAACTATATATTATAGTATGTATATAGTTGGGCAGATAGAAAAAAATATTCATCTCATTAGTGTACATCGGTGTTGGGTTACACTTCAGAGCTGGTCCCACGCAAATTTTAAGAAAAAAATTGAACCCTAAAAGTGTTTAGGTAATTTAACGCTAAAGGTTTTAATGTTAACTATTTGGACCACGATCCTTTAGTCTACTAAAATTTTTTAAGCAACGTTAAATTAACTGCAAAAAACGAAAAAGGAACTCTATACTAACACATAGTTAGTCGAAGAATTAAAGCACCGAATTCAGAAGCTTTCTTAAAAGTTTAATTATTCTACGTAACAATTTTAAAGTTTAATTACATGAAAATAGTTTCAACATTTAATTCTCTTGTAATTAATTTCATCATGCAACTAGTAAGTATCTCAATGTAAATCCCACTTAAATGTGGAAGAACATCTACCAAAGATATTCCTCACTCGGGCCGCCCTTCAACAGCAGTGACCGGAGAAATAGTTTAAAAATCCTAAAAAAATGTTTTAGTAGATCGTCGTGTCACAAACATATTTATTACTGAACATACAAAGATTTCGGCAGGTAGTGTGCATAACAATTTCACATTAACGCTTGGGGATAAAAGATTATACGTGCGTGGGGTACCCAGAATGCTTACCGATGCGCACAAAGAAACTAACATTTTTCGCAGGCTTTTTCTAACTGTTGCAACAAGATCCCAATCATTTATGACTCGATTTTTAACAATGAGGTCATGTCTTCACTTTAACGTTCCTGAAATAAAATTATAGACTATGACTTGGAAAATACCATCAAGGGAGTCCTTTCGCTGGTAAGATCATGGCCTCTCTTTTCTAGAGTAATCAAGGGATGTTGAATGATTGAATATATCGATCGTATAGCTACAATTGATTTAAAAAATCGCGCATTTAAATGCGCGAAAACAGCGAACCAACCTCACAAACATTTTATAGTTTCACCAATGTCACTTCACAGTCCACCGTTACAATAGCTTCAATTTACTATATGCTCGCTTTGAAATCTTCTTACCGCTTCAGTTCATCGCTGAAAGAGAGCCCGCTCACGCTGGTTCCGTTTCCGGAGTGTATATTTGAAGTACACTGATCTGGCTGCCTTCAGTCGTTAGGGGTTGACATTTCCCCGAACCTAAACTATGGGCTATTCATTGAGTAGAAAGTCCAAAGCAGCTGCATGAAAACTAAGTGCCCTTGCAAGGGTGCGGCGGTAGTTAACGCCGGGGCAGCTTTTTACCTTATATAAAGCGCAAGTCCCGTTGTGCATGGAGTACTGCTCACCTATGGGCTGGTGTTGCAAAATCCCACCTAGCAGCGTTGAACTCAGTGGAGGGACGTGCTAAGAGGTGCATTGGTAACCTTAATTTGATTGAAACCAATCTTGTCAGCCTCGAGCACAGGCGCAGAGCAGCCAGGCCTCTCGGTAATTCTAGATGCATTTCGGTGAGTGTGATGTGGTAGGTGGCTTAAGTCCTCACTCTCCTTTCCATCATCGGATAACCAGGCGGTCGGCGGGTTTTTACCCCTTTGTTGTCAATATCCATCTGAATATAATCTGAACGTGTTCAAGGCAAGAGTGAATAGACTTTTGTTATGTTAAGACAGTGCAATTTACCATCTAGGGCTTGCTTCATCACCACTTACCACCAGGTGGGATTGTGATCAAGTCTGGTTTATACTATAATGTTAAAATTAAAAATAGTTGATCATATTCACCAGATCTTGCAATTTATATGTATTTCCATTATTAAAGGAATATGCATAAAGGATAATGCATCAGTCGCTGCAGTACATGAATTTTTAGGCACTCAGGATGACGGATGAAGTTCTTTTAGGAAGGGAATTTCGTGCTTAGAAAAGTGTTATACTAAAAGGGACTGGATGTTGAAAAATAAGTTAAAAATTAATAACAGTTGCCTGCAACATCATCATTCCCACTTTTAATTGTATGCCCCGAGTAATACATGTATATATCAGTAATTACACTTCGTGACCGAGGTAACTTATAATACTAGGAAGTAGGAATGGAATAAAATTTAAATATATTAATAGCAACAGTACAATACTATTTATCTTAATACTCTTTTAATTATATTACATTATAATTTCAGAATGTGCAGCAAAAAAGTATACTTGAGATAGCAAGAGAGCTCAACATTTTACAAGAAAAAGGTCTAAAGGGACAACTTGGTCTCAACGACATATCAGGAGGAACTTTTACTCTATCAAACATAGGCATTGTAAGTTTTAAGAAAAATCATAACATTACTTTTGAAAGTGAACGCAAGTAAGACGAAAGTGATGGTTTTTGAAAGAGAAGAAAGCAAAACGGTATGTGAAATAAGAATAGTAATAAGGGAATTCGTGTATTTGGGATATGTATTTAGCAGGAATAGTAGATATGATAAGGATATATAACGACTAATAAATTCAGGTAATAGAGTGAATCGGGCACTACACTCTATTATGAAGAATCAGAATGTGTCAAAAAAGGCACGTATGGTAATTCGTAATGCTGTGCTACTTTAATGTATGGCAGTGAAAGTTGGGTGTGGCAGAAGAAGCACGAAAGTAGAATAAATGCTGTAGAAATGCGGTCTTTGAGGAGTATGCTAGGGTTGAATCTGAATGACAGGGTGAGAAATTGCGTGATAAGAGATAAATGTGGTATGCAAGATGATTTTGTGACCAGGATTAAGAAAGGAATGCTTCGATGGTTTGGTCATCTAGAAAGAATGAATGCGGATAGAGTGACAAAGCAAATTTATATGGCAGATGTGAACGGCAGAGTCGGGAAGGGTCGCCCTAGAAGTAAGTTTATCGGCCAAATTGGCGATATTTTGAAAATGGGCCACTTTAGATATGGATGTAAAGGAGGCGAAAGAGGTATGTCAGGATCGTGCCAAATAGAAGTCCGTAGTCTCTGCCTACCCCTCTGGGTGACAGGCGTGAGTGTTTATGTTATGTTATGTTTTACTTTTCGCAAATGTATTTGATATATCATTATACAGAATTTTTAAAAAAATTTGTAGAGCAAAACTTTATAGAGTTGTGTAATTATTTAAAAATACAAATCTATTTGAATAAGGGAATAAACGATACCCACCTGACACAGCAAAAAAAATGTAATGCGCAGAGTACATAATTTTCATTTTACGTTTAGTTATAATTTACGTAAGAAACTAAAATCCATTAAATGTATTTGTTTCGATATACGAGTAGGTATAATGTAAGAAATGTATATTCTTTTGAAAAATGAAACACACAGTTCGAGATTGACAATGCTTTATGTTCAAAATATTAAAACGATTACTTGTAAAATCACGTACGAAATATAATTATACAATTCAAAAGTTCTTCATGTGTCATTTCAGGTTGGTGGAACTTATGCGAAACCGGTAATACTTCCACCACAGGTCGCAATAGGCGCACTTGGAAAAATTCAGGTACGGACAGTTTATCGTTTTTATTTATGACACAGTTAGTCCCTCTACACGATGGGTCATCGCCCATCAAAGGTCAGCCAGGTGGGCCAGCGATGGCAGTACGCATCTACACGTGGCCCATTCCACAGATTTGGGCGCTCGACGGTTGAGTGTAGACGTTCATGTTTTGTTTATTAATTAACGAATTAAAAATGTCGAATATGTGGCCTCATAATGAAGTTATAAAGTTTTAATCATAGAGCTACGAAAATCAGAACATATAGGTACATAATTTGTTTTTTTATTTATTTTGAATAATTAATTAATAATTATTTGTTAAATTATTAATTATAATTATTAATTTATTTTGTTTAAAGAAAACTAAATTGACTTAGGATATATTTAATTCTAGTGCGATGGATAGATTACATCCACCTTCTTCTTCTACGCTATTTCTTTTTGATAACTCTAATCTTGTGCACATTAAGAAAAAAAAACCGGTACGTGTTGTATAGATATATTGCCGCAGCGGCTCATTCCTCCACGTCCATCTCAAAAAACGTTTCGATCATAAGTCATAACTGAATGTCGCCATCGTGTAGTTGCGTTTCAACCATCGCATGGCCATCTCACTGGGCCAGCGTTGGCCCATCGTGTAGAGCTATTAAAATAGATATAATAAAAAAACAGAAGTCCTAAGCGCATATAAAGAAATGATTATGTTTATATTATTACCATATAAAGTTATAAGATACAACTAATGATAATAATATAAATATTTTCTTACAGGTACTACCTAGATTTAACTCTCAAGGTGACGTAGTGAAGGCTTATATTCTTACAGTGAGCTGGTCAGCGGACCACAGGGTCGTGGATGGAGTAACAATGGCGAAATTTTCAAACAACTTGAAAATGTATCTCGAAGATCCTTACAAACTACTTTTAGATATTTAGCTGCCTATCACCAGATATTCTTGTGTTCACGGAATTGAGTCATTTGAAAATAACATTAATAAGTTTTTATGTTTTGATTTTTACAATTTTATATAATAGTCTATGAAGTTTTTAATAAAATACAATAAAAACTTTATGAACGCAGTTTTTATCAATTGAACTTATCACCGGCGTAAGACTTCGAATCGAGTTACCTTAAAATAAGCGATTGTCCATTCGGGAATACAATATGGACTATATTCGCGATGAAATCTTGCAAATATTTCTGTAAAAATCAAAGCTTCAGCGCTATTTATGGGTGCCCATTTGAGTGCCAAAAACGACATATCGACGTCACAATACTTTTTATCTGAAATTCCATCAATTTTGTTACGAAAGATAAGGATATAAATATCAAACACATGTTTATATTATGTGCCTAACCACTATCTCTTCAAGCATTAATTTAAATTAAAATTAAATAAATGTTATTTTATAAATTATAATAATATTAAGTTTTAAAGTCAATAATGTATTTTCAAAATGTACCAGCAATCCGAATGAAGTAAACCTTTCGTGGCGAAGAAATTTGTATGTCCTCACGTTTTAGTGCTAACAGGACTCGTTGCCTATCATTCCAATTGCGATCCAGCTCACGGAGTAGACTCAAGCGAGCAGGCTTCGTTAGAAGACCATTGAGTTGTTCATAATGACCCTCACTTATTACTTGAGTCACACGAGATATTGCCTAAACGTAATGGAAATATTATAAATTATTTTTCTAATCATTACGTCATCTACAAAGTTCCGTAATATCAATAAAAACGTAATGTAGTAACCGATTGATATCTTATATTCACGCGAATATTTCAATACTAGGCTGCACTAAAAGTATCGGGAATGGAATATTTCCACTGTTCCTGTCATATTAAAATCTTTTTAATTGAAAACTCCTTGGTTTTAAAAATCGAATACCATTTATTTATTTAAAAAAAGATTCTCGGTCTTGTCACAAGGTTTTGTCAAACTTGTTTTGTCGTTGAGAAAATGGAATTGACTCGAGAAAATGGAGAGATTCAAGAGCGATGATTTATTATGACTTTCGAAGTGGTTTAACATAAAAACAGTGTGTTGACCGGGTGATTTCTGCATTTGGTGATGAAGCCCCATCCAAAACCACAATTTATCGCTGGTTTGCTGAATTTCACCGTGGACGTGTCAAGCTCAGTGATGATCCCCGTCAAGGAGGTTCAAAAACTGCAGTCACCCAAGAAAACGTTGATGCTGTGCGTAAGCTGATTGAGGAAGATCGACATGTGACATACCGCGAAATTCAGACAACTTTAGACATTGGCATGAGTCAAATACAAATAATCTTGTATGAACAATTAGGTGTAAAAAAGTTGTTTTCACGACGGATACCGCATTCGCTCTGTGAAGAGCAAAAAGTGGCTCGCGATACTTGGTGCGTCAGAACTCTCGAAAGATTCCACGCAGGATCCGCAAATGCTGTATACAACATCGTATCAGGTGACGAATCCTGGATATACGCGTACGAACCCGAAACAAAAAACCAGTCACGAGTTTGGGTGTTCGAAAATGAGTTTAAGCCAACAAAAATTGTTCGTTCACGGAGTGTTGCAAAAAAAATGGTGGCCACGTTTGTCTCCAAAACCGGCCATGTTACGACTATTCCTCTTGAGGGACAAAGAATGGTTAATGCAGTATGGTATGCTAGCATTTGTTTGCCACAGGTCGTTTCTAAACTCCGTAAAGAGAACTGCAACCGCCGCATCATCCTCCATCACGACAATGCGTGTTCTCACACCGCACACAGAACAAAAGAGTTTTTAGAGCAAGAAAACATAGAATTATTAGACCATCTGCCCTACAGCCCCGACCTAAGCCCTAATGATTTCTATACTTTCCCTAAAATAAATGGGCGGTTTCACAATTTTTTGCGTGTCGAGTTTTCGCTATGTCTCATGACTTAAGATAGTTAGTACCTGCCCAGGATAACTTTATTTTACACTATGTATAGCTATTTGGGTAGCTTAGTATTTTTTTAACACTCGTACGCATAAAAAGTTGGCACTCGTACGCATAAAAGGTTGAGGAGATAAATGGAATTGTTAAAATAATTTTAAAACCATTATGAAACAGCTTTTTATGATGTCCCATACCCAGGCTATGGAAATTAATACCGTTTTTCTCGGCTTTTTACTCATAGGGAATACAACTAGCACATATCATTTTAAACATATGATTATCATTTAATCAAAAATTATAGCAGTATAGATCATAAGGTTTGAGAATTTAAATAATATGTCTTTAAAGTTTGGGTCGATAATCTGGCCATGGTGGAAAACTCCATTCCGAAACCAAGATTTGTTACGTACAAAAACTAAAATAAACTACCAAATTGGTTTTTATTTTATCGGTAGCAACACATATTTACAACGAAATAGCAACCGCTATTTTTTTTAAGTCATTCGAGCGCTACGAATGTTGGAGTAGTGAGTGTCAGGCGATTGCATTTTAAAAGTTCCACGATCCGAAACCGAAATTAATGGTAAGTTAAACTTGTTTTAATTGTACTATTATTTTACAAGAATATAGATATATTACTAAACCCAGTTTTCAAATTTAGAAATCAGAATAGTTAGTAGAATTGTAACGAAACTTTCATATGTTGTGCAAGTGTTGATACCGTTACCTCCACTCCGAAACTTTATTGACGGTTTCGTAGAAGCGGAACAAAACATGTAACGGAATGGAAACCTAAAGCTTGGTTTACATACCTGCAGTAATTAATATATTTAATTTATATAAGTACCTACCAATTTTTTATAATCTACTGGAACCGCTTTCAATAATAACATATTTTATTGTTTACTTGTTAAGCGAGTTTTATATCACCTTCCTTCACCACCACCTTCACCGCTGGCCGTATGAGGACGCTCAAAGTCGCTCAGCGAGCTATGGAGAGGGCTATGCTCGGAGTTTCTCTGCATGATAAACTTAGAAATGAGGATATTCGCAGTAGAACCAGAGTGACCGACATAGCCCAACGGATTAGTAAGCTGAAGTGGCAATCGGCAGGCCATATAGCTCGAAGAACCGACAACCGTTGAGGAAAAAGGGTTCTCGAGTGGCAGCCTCGTACCGGTAGACGAAGTGTAAGGTGACCCCCCACTAGATGGAGTGACGACCTGGTAAGACATGCAAAAAGTCGATGGATGCAGGTGCCTCAGGACCGTGCTTTGTGGCAAACCTTGGGGGAGGCCTATGTTCAGCAGTGGACTTGTAAAAGGCTATAATGATGAATGATGATGATGATGATGATAACTTAATCAATCACTAAAGTGTTATAGCACTGATTCTAATTTTGTAAACTTAAATTTAGAAACATTTAAAAATAATCACGCAAATAAAGATCATTATCATCTTTAATTAAATATTTAAATTACAACAAAGCGCTGACGCCCTTATATTTTTTTCTAATATTCATTAGTAACAAGTGCTTTTTTATAGATGGCGGAAAAAATGAAAAGATACAGGGAGAAGTTGAAAAAAATTCTGAAAAATATGAAGAGTATAAAAAGAAAGATTTGCAAAGAATTAAGATAAAGGCAAAGAAAATTTTGTAGTTAACCGAACAAGAAAAAGAGCAAAGACGAAAATTGTGGCGAGAACAGAAAAGAAAACAAAAAGTATACAAAGAAGCTTTAAACGTGTCACAAGCATCTACATCTAATGAAACACCTACTAAACGCTGTAAAAATGAAACGAACAGAGAAAATCTCAAGAACAAATTAATAGTTCGTAAATACTAAAACGTTTTCTTATTTTGTACGGACATGTGCGTAGTAGACTTCCCTCGTAGACTTGTTACAAACTATGTGTAATTAAAGATTCCCCGATCTTTGCGGGTGGAATTGTAGGAAGTGTAAACGTAAAAAAATGGGTACATTTTTCTTCCTACATGTAAACTATTCTTTACAGTTCCATTCCGAAACTTTACTATTCCTTTCGGTGACTGTCCTATGTTTGTTGATTAATTAATTTTATATGTATTACTTTATTAACGTGGAGAGACATTTTTTTTGTTAATCTTAAGAAGACTATTATTTGTTGTTTATTTTAAAATAATAATAATTGTATTTTTTCGAAAGGATTCGTAATTTTGTCGATATAAATAGTGTTACAGCTGGTCAAATAGTAACGTAATGGAAATAAAGACTGAATTAATTAAAGTTTGTTATTTTTGTTTATTATAATTTTGTACTATTTTATACAAATACAGTTCTTAAGACACATTAAAAACTGCTAACAAGTTCAAAGTGTGTTTGATTTGGTAAAACCACCATGCTTATTTGGTAACGGAATAGAGCGTTATTCATTATCTGGGCCGATAAATACTAATAAAATATTACTAAAAATCAAATTATGAACCCAAAAATCTCCATATCATTTATTAAAATATGTAATGGATCGATCCTTTGCAAAAATTATACCGGGTTCCGATAAAAATAAAATACTGTTATTTTTTATCACTGTCACATTTTTGTGAAACCACCCAAATAATAAATTGCGTGGACAGAAATTTTCATCACCTGAAGAAGCTGTGGACGCCTACAAAACGGCCATTTTGGAGACCCCGAATGGAATGGTTGCTTCAATGATTGGTTCCATCGTATGGAAAAGTGTGTCAAATTTCACGGAGAATACTTCGAAAAGCAATAAATACATTTTTAAATAGTAATGTTGTGTTACTTCCCTGATTCCCGAAATTTTCAGTGTCGCCCTCGTAAAAGTAATTATATATTGTTTCTTCATTATTTTGTCTGATCAACGCAAAAGAGCACACATTATCTATTATAAGGTTAGGATATAAAAATATTGTTAAATACTTTATCAAAATGTAACTTGATAATATATACGATGATGCTAAGGTCCGGCAATGATCGTATTAATGCATCCGCGTTTCAGAGGCGGCAATCGAACTTACAGTTTATCTA